AGATAAACACAATAGCATTCCAGTGTTCGATCAGAGCATTACAATCACCATAACCTCTTAGTGATAATATTCAATAGATTATAACCTGCTTCATTCATAGTAAATATATTTCAACACCACAAGATTATCAAGAAATATAAAGTTCGTCTGTAATTCACCCTTTTGTAAATCAATTAAAATAAATAGAAATAATAAAGACATGTGTTAATTATTAGTCAGTGCATTCACCCTTTACTTGCCCGGCAACCCCACATAACATCTAGTGGGTTTTATTGTTCTAAGTTAATTATTGCACGTTTGGCTGACTAGTCAAATTGTGGGATTATTTTCCGAACATTAACCTATACTTGAAATTAAATAAAAAACGATTAAAAATATTTTTATAAGAAATATAACCAAATTGTAATTTCCCATGCAAAAAAAAGAAATAATTTTAAGGTGTTCAAAATCTGAAAATCCATGAAAAATTTCATTTATGTTTATAATTTACAACTGTTGTCTGGGATCAGACTAAAAACCTCCTTAGATGTTGGGTGGAGGTGTTGCTGACAAGTGGAAGGGGCAATGCAATTATTCAATACTACATGCAGTGTTTCTTGTCTTTCCTTTATTAAATATAATAATATAATAAATAGATAATGATCATAAAATGAATGAATGAAGGTGTGAGCGAATAAATTGGGGAAGTTTCTTCAATAATTTTACGTGCTGAAGAGAGTGTGTATGCTCTCCGTGATATGGGGAGTGACTCCTTCCCTTCCGAGAAGTGCCGCTGTAGTAGTATGCGTGAGAGCCGCCGCTGTCATACCGCTGCTGCTTTAGTGAGATTGGGTTGCGCCTGCCTTAGTGTCGGCGCAAAAGAGCTGCTGCTGTCGCACCGAAGCTGGCTAAAGGGGACCGTTTACTGCTACCTTAGGGTCGGTGTAATCAGTTAATTTATGCAGTATGATTCGATACTTTTACTCTTGATTAAGTTAGCACTAGCACGTTATTCGTTTAAGTTTGATTAACGGATTTTGAGAATGTGGCTTTACTATTGTATTATTAGATTGCTTGCTGTTTGAGCATTTACGTACGTGTGTATCTACAGTGAGTGATGACTGTAGAAAGAAGCTTGAAGGCTGAATAGCGAGCTGCTGTGTTACTGCGTAATCTTATTAAGCTAAGCTGAGACAAAGACTGGCAAAGGGCCGACAAAGACTGACTGGCGCGTGGCACGCGCAGTCCTTAAGAATTCTTGTAGTAATTTTTTGGGCGCCGGTGGCGATCCGGTGTCTGTTACTATGCCGGTATTTATCGTGACGTCAATAAGCATAGTTTTTGTGAGTTTCATTGTTATAATTCTTCGAAATTCTAGTCTTATATTCAGGTTTTCGGTGTAGAAATATTACTCGAGTTCGTTGGCTAGTGTTTATAAACAATCGTTCGCGCGCTTATACCTCTCCCACTTTTGTCTTCCGCTTTCAACTGTTCAATCCGTAACAACTGTTATATAGTATATTTTATCTACACTGAATACCAATTAAAGTTTGTAATAAACTTATTAACTTATAAATAATTTATATCAACATTTAAAGATTATAGGGATTAAATTATTATACTGGTATTTATTATTATTGATATTGACAAGTAATATAATAACATTAGTTATATAACACACTGTTTAGGTAAAATTTACGGTGATATTATGCTATAAATTATTATACATAAAATCCAAATACTATATATTTTATAATGAATAAATTATTAAATAATATACTCTAAAATTATTACTTACTCTTTTTATTCCTGGCTCCCGAGATAATGCCAAAAACTCTTTATTCAATACATATTCTTTAATCATTTTATCTTTTTCATCTCTATAAAGATCTAATTCCTTTAATCTGCATCCAAAAAATAACCATATCTTACCAAATTTAATTTCTGGAACAATTAATGCAATAAGAGTAATTAAATATTCATGATTAAATTGAATTATAGAAATCTTTATTTTACAACACAACTTTATTTTAAATGTAAAATTAGTATATTATAAATTTATTTTGATAGTGTATTTATTATTCAATTCAATTGCACTTTAAAAGAATATGTATCATAGTCATCTAATAAATATTGGAATAAAATTAATAACCTTAAATCGATAAAAATATATGAATGATTTTTTATATTTTATATTAAATTAAATTTTATATGTTAAATATTATTACAATTGTACAATAATTAATTATAAAGCTTCTCAGAAAATCCAAATATCGATATTTTTATATATTTATATCCATTCATTTTTTAGTTTTTGTTAGTTATTTATCATATGTATGACAAGATTATATATTCTTGGTTTTACTTTATATAGTACTCATTTTGAATTCAATTTTACATTCAGTTTCCTCCTTTTCAAAATATATTGGTGTTCGATTTTAAAGGTTTAGTTTATGGCTCCCACTACCAATTCAATAGTTTAGTGGATTAGTCTCTCGGTAGGATAACTTTAAAAGGAAATAATAATTGACAAGGCTGAAAAATATCATGTATTTAGTAAAACAATATTTATTATTTGTAAATAATTATAATTAATATTGCAATGTTGTGTATAGAGAGATTATTCTATAGAGGTAATGAAGGTGTATCCTTGTAGTCTTGATTGTGATAGACTCTATTGATGTTACAGTGTATCTTGTAATTGAGGTTATGCTGATGTTGTAAGTATTAGCTGATGTAGTCAGTCAATCATGCTTGTGAGGTAGCATGAGAAGATGGTGTTTGAATTAAGTACGCTTGATGTATTAATAACTATACTTAATATGGCGTAAAATGTTTAATGGAATTTATTGAGTAATCAATTGTGTCCTTAATTATTTATAGGGGCAATAGAAGAGCTAGTCACACAAAAGTGTCATTAATTATAAGCCTTAGAACTCTTGAAGGACTTATTGATGTGTATTAATAGTTGATTAGTCGATATACTGTAGTCTGGCCTTGAGAATGACCTTGTCTTGTTGCGTCAACTGGGTTGACTGTTTTGGGAATGCATGACGACGAAGGGATGCTTCGAGAGAGCGTGCTGTATCACCTGTCGACTGTTAAGGGAATGCACAACGACGAAGGTATGTTTCGAGAGAGCGTGATTTACCAGCTGACGACTACTTGGGCCTGTGTGAGGTCGAAGCGCTGATTCGACCGAGAGAATGTGAAATAGCTCCTTTTATTCTTATGTGAGGTATGACTAGCTTATTTATTAATATAAAAGAGGTACCTTGTAAACTGCTGACAAGGTGTATTGATTGCTGCGTAATTAATATCCCATTTGATTACTATTCCATTGGCTTCACTGTAATCACTATCTAATCTACCAGTTTCTTATTCTTATGTACACGTGTCGTCTTCACAGTATACTAAAAACACTGAGCGGAAATTACACTTGATTGAGCCCGAAGTGATATTACAATGAGGGTCGCCACATGACGAGCCGCGCTTAAATATGCATGCAGCGTTTTCCAGAAAATTCTTTGTGGCGTTAGAAAACGAAACTTCTAGAAGTTTCGTAGGCGTTCTTTCTTTGTAAGATTTGATAGTATATTAGATTTCAGATCGTAAAACTTGCTCGGACTTGACGAGTTTTGTTTATAAACATTCGTCCGAGTGCGTGTGCCGCACGCCGCACAGCGCGTATGACCTACTTTTTCTGAAATTCATGGAACTGCATCAATCCCGAACAATTAGTGTTCGAGATTGGAGCAATTTTCAAAAATTTTTTACAAAATACAAGCTAGAGGAAAAGTACAAGCTCTCTGACGCTTATGTTTGTAAACATTGATTTTGCGAATTCTCGAATATTCTGCGTCTTGTTTTCTAATACCCTAAAATATACCTTAAAATCTTTGCATATCAACGTCGATTAAAATTTTCGAACATTCTAAGGCAGAGTCCTTCTGGACTTCTCAAATATTCTCGAGCTTAGTTTCTGACGTTATTCAAACTTTCGCCGTAGCAACAAGCCCATGCATTGTTACCAGCATTTTAAGCTGCCACGCGAATATTTAAGAGCAGTTCGCCACGAACCGGCGCTCACTGTAATTTTACAAATTGTTTACACATCTATTATTACTCACAGTAGTTCCCAATCAATCAGTTATCAGCTATTACTCACACAGCCACTAAACTCAATCTTATACCAGTCAATCAGTTTTACTAAATATACACATATAATTCAGCGAGACTCTACAATAATAAGATCGTAAACACTGAAGCCAAATAATTTGTAACTAAATTAAGAGCGCCACAGTCAAGGAGTCAAGAGTGCTGATTGTATTTCAAGAGTGCATATTAAATAAGAAGCGCACCTCCTACGGACTCGTTACACAAGTAGGTAAGACATTAAAAGCTTCTCTATTCGAACTTCTGTATTAAACGTCGCTGTATTCGGAGCTGTTGTCTGGATTCAAGCACTAAGACGTTACTGTGATTGGAGTTGTACTCGAGATTACAGACTTCACGTAACACTATACAAGGAGTGTCAGGTACGCCCTTGCACTTTTCATTGTAGTAATTTCCACCAAGCGCGCTTCACCAAGAGGACTCAGAGATTTACAACCTCTAACCTCGACTTGCAGTGTACGCTATCTCCACGTGAAAACCACTAAGGAATGAAAATCACTAAAGAATCTCACAGATTCTCAACACCATCTTAGAATCATATTTATTGTGTAGTCTGTAAATAAATAAAGAGAAAAATGCCAAGATACGCTATGTGTTAATTATTGAAGCAATGTGGTAACCCTTCCACTTGCCCGCAATCCTTCCACCGAACATCTGGAAGTTTTAATCTAATCCTAGACACACTCGTTGAAGAATAATGCGTACCATAATGTTTTAATAATTTTCTACATGCTAAACTATCATTATCATTATTAATAACTTATTAGTTTGTTTGACAAGATTATATTATTATATTTATTTATGGATAATTTCTTGATAATGGAAAATTCTTGATAAATCTTGTAAATTTGTAATTTTAAAGTAACGTCACTATACATTTTCAAAGATTCTAGTTACAATGATATTTCTACCTCATTTAATTCTTTCCTTAAATTGGTATTTATCACAGACACTATTGACTATTCTTTATTTAATACTTATATTAATTGCATACTAATTAATTAGCTCATTGGAACATTGTTCATGTAAAATAGTCTTATATTTTACCAATTATAAAATAACCAGTAGATAGGTATATGTAATACTTAATGTAAATTCTGATTTGATGCTGTTCTGAAATACATTATTTTCAAGCTATGTATATTTATATTTTCGAAATAAAAATTTACAAGATACATTACTAAGGGCTGAGTTTTCACTGTTTAAAATTACTATCGGTCTTCATCTGATCTAATTATTTGAGCAACACTTTACTTTAAGGTGTTATGAAAGTAAAAGTATCAAGTATTCACCAGTAGAATATAAGTAGTTAAGGCAAATTAAATTTTATATTTATATATTGTTCGAAAGTTTAGATTCTGGCTCGAACTACCAAATTCAATAGTTCAGTTATTAGTCTCTCGCCGTAGTAATGCTTAGGAAAGGACACACGTGGAAGGGCTGTAAATATGTACAGTGTGTAACTTCGTTTAGGACATCTTGTATTTTGTTTTTATAAACATTATGGTAGTTCTATGTTCACTTCTTGTGGGGCAGAGGGAATTATTCTATTACAATGATGTGGTTGCTCTCTGGTAATGGTGGCGATGTCGTTGATGATGTTATGGGGGTCAGCAATGAATTTTATATATTCTTTGTAGGGGAATATGGCTTGGTTTGAGACCTATGCTAACGTTGTAAAGGTTAGCAAGAATAGCCGACCATACTCATAAGTTGAGCATGGGAAGGTGGTAGTGGTAGATAGCAAGGTGAGTCGGCCATACTCATAAGAGGAGTATGGAAATAACTGTGTGCTAGTTATTCTCAAAATAGACGGATGATATACTTTCGAGTGTAGAAGGGTTAGATAGCATATTTTGTATAGTCGACTATTTTGTAGAACGGCAGTCAGCCCTTGACGGATTGTTGTCTGTGCGCAGTGGAGAATGAACGAGAGTTCCTTGCAATAGCTGCGTTGAATGATCTTGAACTGATACTGTGCACTTTATGACTACCGACACTACGTACTGAATGACTGCTTCATGTTAACTACGTGGAGTCTTGTCGCGCGCTTCCTTAAGTATCGGTGCGGCAATTAGCTTTAGCTCGAAAGGACTTTTAGGCAAATTGAGAAGTTGGCGAAAGCAACGTAATCGTTCGAGACCAAGCAGTCTTCGGAGATGATCAAGAATCCAATCTTTCGGCTAGTCAAGAATTCGGCGAAAGCAAATGTAATCGTTCGAGGCTAAGCAGCTTTCAGGAAGGATCGTCAATCTAGGCTTGCGGACATTCGAGAACTTCTCGAAAGCGACGCCTTGGAATATTCGAGAATTCCATCGACATTGCTCGCGAAGGCTTAGCAGCCTTGTAGAACATTTGAGAATTCTAGTTTTGGCTAGTCGGGAAATCGGCGTGACGAAAGGTAAACTATTCGAGAACAGATGGCTTCGAATACATGTTTGAATTCCGAGCATATATACAATTCTAGGTATTTATTTTTGAGCTTAGATACGTAAAATTTCTATCTGGAGTATTCTATTTCCTGTGAATTTACAAATTAAAGGGTATTTAATGTAGATATTATTTAGACAATTAAGGAAAATTAAGAAGGCAGTTGATTATTATACATAAGTGAGATCTATTTTTAGTTTTAGCCTTCATTGTAATATATAAAAATTGGATAGATATAAAATTCTTTATATGCAAAAAGAATTTATGAATAGTAAAAAACTAGTTAAATATTATTATAAAAATTATAAAAAATAATTAGTTTTATATATATTTTACATACCTTTATTTAAATCCATCTCAGCTTTTCGATGATGCCAAAATCCTCGAAATGGTGCTATTCCAGTTCCAGGACCAACTAATATTATTGGTACATTCTGATCAATAGGCATGTAAAAATTCGGCGCGCTGAAATAATTATTTTTTATTATAAATATTTTTTATGTCATTAAGTCATCGTATGATATATAATATAATTCTACATTAGGCGAAAATTAACTTATGTTTTCAGAAATAATCTTTATATATTTAAAAATACACAAAAACCAAATTATTAAATGTGATATAATTTTTATATGTAAAATATTTGCTGTAATTAATTGCACAACCACGATAAGTCCGAGATTATAATAATTTTGTCCAATTATAAATATTATCCTATTATATATTATATTATTAATATTGTTAAAAAAGTATTATATTGATATATATATAATTTATTGTTTTTTATGTACGAATATTTATGATTTTTATTAATAACATAATTATGTAATTTTCAACAATATATTATTTTAATTATTTTTAAACAATGCAACAATTTTTTACCTGCGGATAAATACATATAATAATTCTTCTTGTTTTATCTCTTTTAAATAATTTGAACAGACGCCGTAATGAAGAGGTCCTGAATCACCTAAAATAATATTCATTATGATGTTTTTATCGTTTAATAATTGTATGTATTATTCAAATAAATATACCCATTGGTATAGTGAAAACATACTTTTCAGAAAAAAAGTATAAAACTTTATTAAAGTTCTTAAGTAGAATTGAAGGTTGTTCAAATGGAATAGGAATATCTTAATTTGCAATTGTGATTATAATATGAAAGAAGTAAAATTTTTACGTAAGTATAAAAGAATGCAATACAAGATAATAAGATAACAAAATATAATATTATATTACAAAGTATTGTGTTCTCTCATCTTAAGAATTAAGATTAAATTTTAAAGTAACAAAATCAAATGTAAATTTTAATCTTACGTTTAAAACAATTACTAGCCATATAGTAATTAGAATTTTTAGATAAGTACAATAGATATCATAACTCAGTCATTGCAAAGGCTTTTAGAGTTATTTTCTGTATGAATTCAAATATGGTATGGGATTACAAATATCCTCTCATCCAATGCCGCCATAGATTTATACTCTATGTTAGCATAAATGTATTCATTAATATGGGAATTCGTGTGCATAGTTGTTTTATGAAAAGGATGAAATTTTTTAATGTTAAATTTAATGAAATCATTTCGTTTAAATGGATTTTCCATACATTATAAAATTTATGAATATTTTAGAAGTTACTAATAGATTTAATAATTTTGAAGTCAAAAGTTATTTTGAACTACTGTCTTCTTAAACATAAGCTAAAAATTACATTAGTTTTGTATTATTTTTTCACTTTTTTGTAGCAACTTTCATTAATATACGCAACATTATGAATGTTCGGGATAGATGCACTCCCATGAATTTCAAACAAAAGAAAGATCATACGCGCTGTCCGGCGTACAGCATGTGCACCTAGACTGGCACGCACGTGCGGACCGGGACGCGCATTCGAGCGAATGTTTACAAACAAAACTCGGCAAGACCGAGCAAGTTTACGACCGAAATATAATATACTATAAGATCACCCAAAGGTATTACTCCTACTTTTCTCTCATCGAACATTCTCGAAGGTTCTAGATTTTTCCTTCGATGCCTCGTGTAAGAATTAGTGCAACAACGACGATGCCTTGTTGCCAGCTAAGTGAGCCGCCGCGTAGCTACATAAGGGACGCACGCAGCGCGCCTCCCTCTCTTGCTGAAAATACCTCTTGCTGAAGATACTTTTTGCTGAAGATACCTCTTGCTGAAGATAGCTCTCGCTGAGAATCATCTCTTGCCGAACCACCCTCGCTCAACTGCGCTTGTGGCCAACATCTTGCCGTGACCCGACCGCAGTGACCGACCATAGTGAACCGATTCAATCATCTACTAGTAGAAGCCATGGCACACCGATCTCGATCTGCCCTCAGCAGGACTGCCATGGAACGGTCGGTATTTTCAGCAGAGCCGCCACGGAACGATCAAGCCTTCGGTTCGTGCGTGTATTCAAAAGGCTCATACACTCATTGTAATATCACTTCGCGCTCAGTGTTTTAGTATACTGTGAAGACGACACGTGGCCACACATATTCGGCAACATAGTTAAGAATACACGCGTGCATAAGAATAAGAAGTCGGCAGTTTAAATAGTGATCACAGTGAAGCCAATGGAACAGTAATCAAAAGGGACATCACTCACACAGCAGTAAAACACCTAGCCTGCATTTTACAAGGTATATCTTTTTATATTAATTAATCAGTTAGTCACACCTCGCACACAACACATGCTCTCCCGAAGAACACTTCGGAGCACGCAGGCTCGCTAGCAGAGAGAGGGCACGCACACGCTCTCCCGAAGAGCACTTCGGACCATTCAGGCTCGCTAGCAGAGAGAGCGCAAGATTACGCTCTTCTGAAGATCACTTCGGAACCATTCAGGCTCTCTAGCAGAAATAAGGCACGCCAGAGAGAGGACAAACGTAGACTCTTTCGAAGAACACTTCGGGACCATTCAAGACCTCTGGCAGAAACAGGGCACACTTACGCTCTTCGAGCACTTCGTAACCGTACAGGCCATCAACAGCTAACGCAAGAGTCGCTATGCCATAAAGCACATTGTCACAAAGGACACAACAGATCGTCTAATAGACTATAAATACAGATTATTACATCCTTTAAGAGTTAGAAATCCTGTCATTAATCATTCTCACGTGTGACTAGCTCGTCTACAGCTCCCCTTACATAATTAAAGACACGATTGATTACTTAATAAATTCCATTAAACATCTTACATCATATCAAGTATAGTTATTCATATACCAAGCATACTTGATTCAAACACCATCTTCTCATGCTACCTCACAAGCATGATTGACTGACTGCATCAGCTGATATTTAGAACATCAGTATTACCTCAACTTCAAGACACAGTAAATCCATAGCATCTACAATAATTCAAGAATACAAGAATACACCCTCACTACTTGAATAGAATTATTTCTCTCTACATCAAAATGCAATATTATTCTAATCTTTTACAATAATAAACATTGTTTTACTAAATACACGATATTTTTCAGTCTTATCACTTATTATTTCCTTTGAAATTATCCTGCCGAGAGACTAATCCACTGAACTACTGAATTGGTAGTTCGAGCCATAAATTAAACTTTTAAAATCGAATAATGAACTTACATAATTATGACAAGCCAGTATTGCATAACATTTCAGTACATAAAATTAACTATTGGTAGTTTCACAATTTTACCACAAAGTTCACTTGGCTACATTTTACACAAAATTCAATTCCGTCGAATTATTCGATTAGTTTATTTAATTATTTAATAATCAAATTTTTAATTGTACTAAAAAAATGTATTCCTTTACTTTACTCGTATTCACTTTCAAATTTCTCGAATATTATTTGATCAGGTTTATTATCAGTTAAAAATTCTGATTTAATAAAATGCAATAGTTCTCAAAGAAAATTTTAGTAAATCGAGATATTCTGATACTTTAATAAATTAATACTACGAAAAAATTACGGCACAATGAGTTGTATTATGAAAATTACGAAAAATATTCTTAGACCTTGTTAAAATGGCTTAGAAAATAGTTTAAAATAATATTTTCGAACAGTCTTAAAAATTTAAGGTAAAATAATTTTATATATAACATTATTTATTATTAGTAAAAAAAATAATAATACAATAATTAATATTTAGGGAAAATGTTTTTTATTTTGATGAGATTTTTTATAAATTTACAATTTCAATCATTTATTTAAATTTTCTTAATTTATTTCAGTAATTTCGTTTCTTCTATATACATAAATATGGTAAGAAACAAATTATAATTTGAAGATACTTGCAAATATGAACATTTTTTTTTACATATTAAAAACAATAATACTTTAAGAATGCAAAAGTATTATATTTATATTTTTCATATTTATACTTCTTAAAAGTAAATACTGATTTTTATGAATGTGGCAATTATTGTTATGCTTACTTATTTACATAAGGTTTTGTCAATTTTCATTATTATCGTTATTTCATACCTTAACATCTTAATTAAATTAATGTCTTTATAATTATAGACAAGTTTCTAAAATAACAGTATAATTTTTTAATTAATAATAATATTAAAATTTAAATAATAAATTTATTTACTTTTAGTATTTGTAAATATTTTATATCAATGTTTTTGTATTAATTAAATATTTTTAATAATCATCTTTTCTTTGAAAATATATTTAATTCCATGTAACATAACAATAAATATTTTTCTCTAATAAATTGTATTTTTGTAAAATTATTTTCTATGTGCTTTAGTCTATATATTGTTAACAATATATATTGAATATATATATATATATATATATATATATATATATATAAGTTTATATTTTAATATAACAATTTTATAGCATTTAATTTATTTGATAATATAATTGTTCAGGATTGGAGCACTTTACAAGAAATTTAATTTTTCTAAAATTGTAATCCTTATAGCTCGCAAGATCGTAAATATTGACTCCGAAATTTCTTGATGATTTTAAAAGCATTGCTTACGAACGTCCGGTAATGATTATCCAGTGTCCGCATAGCAATGCCGTTTGAATTCTATTGAAACAGTGGTATTCTTGCTTGAGTCAACTAGTGGAACCACGCTATACTGCAAGGTGCCTCACACTCTTCGGACGAGGCGCTGCGCCTTCTGCATATGCCTCTTCCAAGAAGCTACTGCAACTGCCTCTTGCAAGGGGCCGGGTGAGGTATTAATTTAATATATTATTATCAAGAGGAGACTTGTACCCAAAGCACCATACGGGGCTCTGTACAGGGAGTGTCAAGGATTTACACCCTTGCGCTTCTTAGTGTAGCAATTGGACCAAGCGCACTACAACAAGAGAACTTGAAGATTACATCCTCCGCCACTCGACTTGCAGTGCATGTTAATTCTACGCAAAAACCAACAAGGAGCGGTACGATCGGAACGATTCGTACTACCAAAGTAGAATCATACTTATGTGTTTATAATTCAAAACCTAGTAAATATCGAGAAAACCAATTGCGTTGATTACTGAATTGAAGCATTACCCTCTCACTTATTCACACTTTGCCACCAGTAAAATGGTGGGTGTAGTCTAATCCAATAATCTTGGTCTTTCGACCTTCGGGTGATTGGAATTCCGCACAATAATACTTGATTAAAGTTTCTTAAAAAGAAACTTTCGTTACAGACCCTTAAAAATTCTTACACAATTGAAACAATTTTTTGTAAATACTCAAAAAAGATACTAAATTTTAATTTTGTTATACTGTTCGAAATTGCGTGTTCGGGATTGAGGCAGCTTAATTGAAGTTTAAAATTGGGAGAATTACAAACGCTTGTTTGTAAAGTCGATTCAGCGATTCTAGGAATTTTCCTACACCATAACCTCTAATTACTACAATATTTCCGCATAGCAATGTCGATGAAGCTTCGAGAATATTCTAGAGCTTCGCTCTATGACGTCGCAACGGTTATCGGCATAGCAACAGG